TGGTGGGCTTGGGAACCCTGCACACGTCGTTTGGGGCCGTGAGCGACGCCCCGGCCGGATCTCCTTGCGGATGGAAGCCGAATAGGCGATAAACCCGGACGAGAGACTTGTGTGGCTAGTCAGGTCGTGGCCGACACTCTCGCCGGGCTTCCGCTTGAAGGTTGACGAGTACATGTCGTGTAAACGGCGATAAGTGGTGAGAGCGTGTGTGAAGAAGTACACCCCTGCAGGGTTAACATTATCTATTCGAATAGCCGTCTCCGCGGTAAAGGACTTCTGGGTTGCCTATACAGTTCATAGACAAGTGAAGGTGGATACTCTAAAATACGCAAGATAAGCATGAGTGCTATGGATGGTATTCTCGTAGGGAGACGGGAGCGGATCCATAATGGTGTATTGATATGGTGAATATGTGGAGTCATGTGCGCCACCTCAAAAGAGTTACTTGCAGTCGTAGTTCAGGATAGCCACCGAGTCAAAGCTGGCTTGCTGCATTCAAACTCCACCACCCCTTTTATTTATACTGATGCATTTGTAGTTAGTTCTGATGTAAGTCTTGCTGGGTAGATTTGTACTCACGTTGCTTAATTTATGTTTTTGTAGAGAGACTTCAGTCTCGCTAGTAGTTCCACGTGGACTTCGATGTTTAGCTTGTTACCTCAGCTACGATCTTGTGCCCTCGGCGGGATCTGGTAGATAGTCAGGCTTCTCAGCCTTTTTCATTTCTAGATGTCTGTACTCAGACATGTTAAGCTTCCGCTTGTGCTTTGACTTGTGTGCTCTGAATGTTGGGTCATGAGACCCATGCTTGTAATATCTCGCTCCTTGGAGCCTAATGAATAAATATCTTGAGTTGTAGAGTCATGTTGTGATGTCATGTTGTATTTGCACATATCAAGCACATTATGTGTATGTTATTAAAATGCTTGCTATGTGTGGGATCTGACTATCTAGTTGTTTATCCTTTGTAGCCTCTCTTACCGAGAAATGTCTCCTAGTGCTTCCACTGAGTCATGGTAGCTTCCTATTGCTCCGGAACACTTAGGCTGGTCGGCATGTGTCCTTCTTCGATCATGTGTCTGTCCCTTCGGGGAAATATCACGCGGTGTCTACCGGAGTCCCGTTAGCCTGCTACAGCCCAGATTCTCTAGAGTCCTGCTAGCCCAGTTGCTATAGCCCGGATTCACTCGCTGTTGACCAACACGTTCGTTGCTGGGTCATGTATGCCTGTCCCTGTAAGTTAGTGCCACTTTGGGTTTACGACTAGTCATGTCAGCCCAGGTTCTTTGTCATATGGATGTTAGCGACACTATTATATACGTGAGCCAAAAGGCGCAAACGGTCCCGGGCCTGGTAAGGCGACACCCGTGGGAATACCGTGCGTGAGGCCGCAAAGTGATATGAGGTGTTACATGCTAGATCGGTGTGACATAGGATCGGGGTCCTGACAATTTGACTAGTGAATAGAGGATTCGATAGTTCATGTTAGTGGTAGTGATTCTGGAACCCTTGAGAACGCTTTATTACTCAAGCACCATCCTTACTAACTTAGCATCTTTTATTCACTGTTTTTTACTCTTTTGTTAGTAGTTTAGTTAAATCCCTTTTTATCTACTACCTCCGTCCGGGTATATAAGTCCAGTGAGCCAAGAAGCTGCATACGTTTTTCCAAGGCCGCTGGCGCAGTTGCTTTTCCTTGATCCGACCGCTGGATTTGCGCTTGATTGGCTGGTGACGCGCGTGGGTAGGGGCATGCAGAAACCGAAGAGGCAAGTGGGTTGCCTGCTGTAAATGTTGGCCGCTGCTGGATTGGATGCTTGCAAAGTGAACGAGGCAGCTAGCTGCATGCAAAGCTGCTCGTGATTTGATTGGCTGTTGTGATTAAGCGTTGCTGGTTACTAATGCTTTGCCTTGGCCTTTGTGTTTTGGCTAATGGGACTATTAATCCCAGACGGAGGTAGTAGTTTTCCTAGCAACTTATAGAGTAGACTATTTCCAAACTTCGGTTCGGATGCGTACGTAAGTGTGTTAAGTGACATCGTGGTTGCAGGGTTTGTGGTAGCTTCCTATCAGCTCCATGTAAGTTCAACACTTTATTTACCACGAAAGTGCTACAACAGTCATGTGCGCTTGCACGTCACCATGACCTAACCTAGTAAAAAATCATGCAAATACGAAGGACAAATCTTAGTTTTTTAGCGCTAGGACCGTTAGTCAAGAAGTGAAGGCCACATCTACACGTAAGCAAGTTGGGCCGGCCCAGTTTACGCTTCGTCGCCTGTGCCACTCTAGTTTTTCTGTTCCATTGTGCGTTTTTCTTTTCTTTTTGAATTTTATTTATTTATTTCGTTCTCTTTCTTTTTTCTTCTGGTTTGGTTTTTCTCCTGCTTCTTGTTTTTCTTTTTCTTTGCACATCTCCATTTTTAGCTATATTATAAAAAAACAATATTTGATGATTTTTTCCCCAAGTACTCACAAAACATTTTTTATAATTTTATATATGAGGAACTTTTATAATATTAACATACAATGCATATTTTTAAATACAAAGTGAAATCATTTTATATATATATAGCTTGCCAAACTGTGTATCACCTTTTTTTTCCTTCCGTAGCGTGGCATGGGCGTCTAACCAGACTGAAGAGTAAAACGAGTAACTTCAGAAGAAGAGACAATGAAGGGGAAATAAACCACCAGCAGCACGAGCTGGAATGCGCAACAGAGCCAGCAGGCAGGAACTGGTGGAAGCATCAACGTACGGGTTGTAAACATGAGTATAAGCCGTCAAATCGCTTTGTATTAGGTAAAAGTTCCTTCAATTTAGTGGCCGGGGATGCAAAAGGTCCCCTTGACAGGCAAGTGAGCCGCAGCTTTCTGGCTAAATGATCGGGTAACTCATTATGCTAGGCCGCAAGTAGCATTAGTCCTGCGTCACTGCTTACCAACGATTATCAACGATGACCACCGCAGTCTTTCCTTCTTCCTTGAACTTGGATTGCTTCAGGTTGTAGAAACAGGATCGAGTGTGGTCATCATCGCAATAAATTAGGAATTCTTGAAGAGACCAACAAGCAACAGCGGCTCCCCAGACGACAGAAACTTGCATCGGGTAAGAACTTTGCAAGCAGAGACAAAATTGCAAACCATTATGTTTGAAGAGATCCTATGAGCAAATGAAAGAAACTCGATACTTTTGGTTATGAAATTTCGATGCACAGTCTATCGATCAAATGAAAGAGAGGGTCTCAGACCCTGTAATTACCAATAATGCTCAGTAAGATGAAAAAAAAACAGATATAGTTTGTACGATCATACAGTCATCGCATTAGCATCACACTCTAGAAGGGATCATGATGAAGATGCTAAGATTTCCTTTTTCATCAAAAGACAAGGGCAAATGCCAAAAAGCCACCCAAAGCTGCCAATTAGTTTACTGGCTCAAGATAAGATCCAGTACACTCAATAACATGTAGGGGGCGTCCTTTGAACCAATAAAAAAGATAGCAGTACAAAAAGGTACCAGGCTCACTAAATATGCAGGTGCACGCGTAACATGGTGGACCGAACAATATCATCAAATGCATCTTGCGCACAACGATCCACCGATTAAACAACGGCCCGCCATACTGCAACTTCTTCATTACGGGTAATTTCAGACCAAGGTGGATTCATTTCAAATAAGCTGAGAGAATATTGTTGTCGGCACATGGCCAGCTATGCGGCCATCTGTTTATCTTGGGGAAAGACGCAGGCAGTACAAAAAATCGTTTGTAACCTGGGGAGGCTCGATGCTAATGGCAGAACAAGAGAATGGTACTACCCCATGGAAATATTTCTCAGCGACATGTATCAAGCATCCTTTCCTGGTCCTAGTCTTGGCACAAACATAAAATGTAAGGCAATACAACAGGTGAACTCCAGTCGTTCACAGCAACTGTGAGCTTGTGCGATGCAAAAAGAGAACAGGTCCGAAAAGAGAAGAGGTAATAGCAACCGTATGGGAACACTTTGGTCCAACAAGTTGACAGTGGTTCAAACTCATCAATAAACTTGGCACACGAGCTAAATTCAAGCCATTTTCATCTTGTTGGACCAAAGTGATGCTACGCAAACAAGAACGCATTCGCAGAAGTAATTGTGTACACTGTTATCCACTAGTTCGATGATAAGTAGGGTAAAAAGGAACACATATGAAGAAGACATCAGCAAGCAGTAAAATAAGGCTTCACACATCAAACAAGATGAAAATGGTTCAAACTCATCAACACACTGACAATGGTTCAAACTCATTAACAAACTTAGCACACGAGCTAAATTCCAACCATTTTCATCTTGTTGGACCAAGTGATGCTAGCTACTCCTGACGAAACGCATTCACAGAAGTAATTATGTACACTGTTATCCTGTTAGCTCACAAGTTCGATGATAAGTAGGGTAAAAAGGATAACATATCAAGAAGACATCAGCAAGCAGTAAAATAAGGTATAGATTTTATCAGCTGAAGCATAGTGGCAGCAAGGCTGAAGCATACTGTCACCTAAGAGAAACTACATACTCCCTCTGTAAAGAAATATAAGAGCGTTTAGATTACTCCCTCCGTAAAGAAATATAAGAGCGTTTACGTTTAGTTACAGAGGGAGTACATATCAGCTGAATCATAGTGGCAGCAAGGTTTCACATAAGGAGGTATACATTTGATTCGGAAGAAATTATCAAGACAAATCAGTCTGAAATTACACTTCACTAGCTGTCGTCGTGAAGCAGCCAAAAACACAAGCAACCTCTCCTATACGGTTATACCAGTGGAGGATCCTAAATCTTAATGTACACTTGCAGCTCCAATTCTCTATCTCAACTCACCTATCATCTAATCACAATAAATAAATAACCCACCTCGCAGAGCACATTTTACACTGAGCAGACAAGCAGGTCCAAAAAGAAAAGAGAACCACGCGTAGCATAACGTCGAGCACGTTGCCCGCACCCTAGGAAGCTGGCGCCTAATGGTAGAACACGACCGGCGGGACGGCCAAGCCAGTGTCCTTGAGGAAGGGGACTACCTGCGGGCGCTCGGCGAGGTCGCGGTAGAAGGCGTACTCCGCCTCGTAGTCGTGGAGGTCGAGCTCGTTCTTCTGGTTGCTGTGGTAATGGTGCTTGGCGTCTGCCACCTTCCCGAAGCCGAACACGCTCACCCTGTCGCACACTCCCACCGCCACCATGATGGCCTGCATCCCGGACGAGTAGTGGAACAGCGCCGCGTCGTGCGCCCCGTTCCAGTCCTCGACCGCGCGGCCCGTCTCGGCGACGAAGCGGCGGAGCGAGTAGTACTTGACGATGCGCGCGCAGAGGACGTCGAGGCGAGGGTCGGTGACGGAGATGGGGGCGTCGTGGGTGGCGAGCGAGGAGGCGTTGCAGGCGGCGACGTCGAGGAAGTGGGCGGCCTGGCAGATGTAGAGGAGGACGGGGACGCCGCTGCCGTAGGGGTGGCAGAAGCAGCCCGGGCGGCGCGCGCAGAGGTGGAGTATGTTGCTGTTGATGAAGGAGAGGTTGGTCTTGGCGCCGACGTGCGCGGTGTAGCCGACGATGCGGGCGTTGTTGAGGCGGAAGACGGCGTGGTGGGAGTCGATGAGGGCGCCGTGGGCGTGGCGGAGGAGGATGCCGCTGTTGCCGACGACGGCGCAGGAGGGGATGCGGGCGGGGAGAGAGAGCACGGCGGGGAGGTCGCGGAGCACGGCGGGGTCGTAGCGGCGAAGGCGGTGCCAGGAGCGGAGCGCGCGGCGGAGGGCGGGGTCGAGGAGGAGCTCCTCGCGCGGGAGCGGGTGGAGGAGGGAGTCGGCGTGGTCGCGGTCTGCGTGGCCGCGGCGGTGGACGGGGAACTGGTGGTGGCGGAGGTGGAGCGGGTGGAGCCTGTCGCGGCGCCAGGCGCGGGCGCGGGCGCGCCCGGAAGCCGGGAGGCGGCCCTCGAGGAGGTCGTCGACGTCGCGGCGCAGGGACGGCTCGGAGCCGTCGAGGGCGGCGACGCGGAGGAGCGTGGCGTTGAGGCGCGCGGGATCGAGCGGCGGCGGCGGCGGGGCGAGCGCGGGGGCCGCCGGGGCCAGCGCCCGGCGGAGCGCGGAGGGGAAGGAGGCCGCGCCGCAGAGCACGACGAAGAGGAGCGCCGCGAAGGGCCCCCGCAGCGGCCGCTTCATGGCCGCCGCCGCAGCAGCCGGGGGCTAAGTGGGCCGGGGCCGCATCGGGGGATGCGCATCTGGGGGGTGCGAGCCCGAGCCGAGGAGGTCCGGGCGGCCGGGGAGTGGGGCGCGACGCGATGGGAGGGTTCGGGTACGGCGAGGTGGGCAGGAGCGAGGTTGATTTATTTGTAGTAGGTGGTTGGACTTTGGGTTCGGGGAACGGGGGATCCTATGTGTCGTTGTTCTTGTTGGGTTCGAGCAGCGTCGGGAGGAGCAATGATTCTGTGCTGTGTGTGTGAGGGACGCAACGTGACTGCACGAGGCCCCGGCACGCGAGAGATGATGGGCGGAATTGTTTGCGTGTTGGCCCTTTGTCCCGGTGAAATTGGCACTTTTGTCCCCCTTGGATCTCGCCCGGTGACCGATGAGCCACACATGTATTTCTCCTGGCCAGTAAGCGTACCAACGTCTCGCACCTCTAATGAGGTGGTCAAGTCCGGCAGCGAAAGGTGAGGTTTAGCTCCAAGGTAAAAAAAACGCTGTTAGAGCATTTCTAGTAGATCCCTGATAATCAAATTTGTAAACAAAAGTTAAGTTTAAGGAAAAAAAGGCCTATCTAGCAGGCAAATCTTCTAAAACCAATTTTTCGTAAATATGTGTTTTCTCCGAAAACTTTCCTAGACGCTCACTTTTAGTCCAGCCGTGATCGTCTGAGCAAAAATCCACGCTGCCTCCCGCTCGCACACAACCTTCCCGTCCGCCCCGTCGCCGCCACCCCTATCCTCACCGTCAACCATCCCCTTCCTCAATGACCGGCAGAATGAAAATGTCGTCCCCTGCCGCACCCTTGGCACCATCGTCGACGCTGGAGACACAACGGCGGCCATGAACTCGGTGGCGCCACCGCAGAAATGGTGACAGCAAGGGAAGAAATAACAAATGACAGTGCAACGTCGAAGTCGGTCACCAGCAGTCGCTCCACCGCGACGACAATACAACATTGCCCATGCTGAGGGACAGTCAGCCGTCAGCCAAGGCAGCGGACAACTCGGTGGGGTGGCAATAGAAAAGAAGACTCTAGCCACCGGTCGCTTCCACCTCGACTTGGCGCAGGGCCGACGAGTACTACTCTACCGGAAAATCCTATATGCCGCTCGTTGCGTCAAACTGCTGGCGCTTTGCACAGGCGAGCGACCGAGCAGCGACGCAACGGGCCGGCCCGTTGAACCGTTTCAGCGCTCCCGGTTTTGGGAACCTTCTAGAGGTTTCCAGCTGGTTTTTTCCGGTTTTGGGAACCTTCTAGAAGGTTCCTGAACTGGGTTTTTTCTTTCTTTTTCTATTTTTGTTTCGTTTTTTTTCAAGTTTATGTTTTATTTTTCAAAAAAATGTTCGCATTTTTTGGAAAATGTTCGCGCTTTTACAAAAATGTTCAGAATTTGAAAACAATTCGTGTTTTCAAATTTTGTTCACAAATTCAAAAACTGTATGCATTTTTCAAAAATTGTTCGGAATTTTAAAAAATTGTTCAAAAAATGTGCGCGCTTCCAAATTTGTTTGGTATTTTCAAATTTGTTCTCTGTTCGAAAATTTGTTCTAAATATTCAAAAAATGTCCGTGCTTCCAAATTTGTTCATGCTTCCAAATTTGTTCTCTGTTTCAAAAAAAATTCTCAAGATTCAAAAGATGTTCATGCTTTAAGAAATTGTTCAAATTTGTTCTTCATTTCAAAATTTGTTCTCAAGATTCAAAAAATGTTCGTACTTTTAGAAAATATTTATGTTCAAATTTTGTTCTCAATTTCAAAATTTTGTTCTCTAAATTCAAAAAATGTTCGGAATTTAGAAAATGTTCCTGCTTTTCAAGATTTGTTCACAAGTTCAAAAAATGTTTATGTGTTTAAAACAAATCACCATTCATAAAATTGTTCATATTTTCTAAGAACATTTTCTTTTTATAAAAAAATGATCGTAATTCTAATAATGTTCCTGTTTCAATATTTGTCAACAACTTCAAAGTTGTTCCTGTTTCTCAAATTTGATTAAAAATTCAAAAAATTGCTAAAACTTTTTCAAAACTCGTTTGTGTTCTGTAAAAAACTTTCGTACTTTTCAAATAATATATTCAGAATTTACAACAAATGATAGGAAAAAGGAAAAATAATCCGATTCTTTAGATATGGCAGGTCTAAAGGATCGCATTGCAATTGTTTCAGCGTACAAAGACTGGCGTAGTGGCTAGCTACGCATGTCTACAGGCTAGCGGTCGCGGTTCGAATCCTGGCTGAAGTGCTGCGTTTTTAATCATTTATTTTTTTACACTGATCGCTGCCTTCCTGGCCCAGCCCAGTCGAGGGATTGCCATATGCGAAGCCTGGACATTCTGCCGCATAATGCGGCAGATAGGAAGTCCCTACTCTACCTCCTATTGTCGCGCCGCCACCCGCCTCACGTCCGCCAGCCGAGGGCGAGGTGAATTCGTACGGTACAACCGGCGACGGTGACATTCTGGAGAAAATGCCCAGAAAGGTTCATTTTTAATCTTATAACTGGCAAGAATAAGGTGCAAGCAATTGTTTTGTTTGTTGTAGGTGCTGCTAAAATTGTTTGCGTGTTGCCTCCTACTGGTTCGATAAAGATTGGGTTTTAATTGAGGGAAATACTTTTTGTTGTTGTGCTACATCACCCTTCCTCTTCGAGGACTCCAATGGCTCTATCGTGAGTAGCAGTAACCAAATTGTATTCTCTCTCGGCCATGCTTCCTCACTCCTTCAACAATATCAATAGAGATGCTCTAAGGAGGCGCTTGGTAACGTGCACCGTTTGTGCCACTTTGCATACTTAACCCGTCTGGCCATGATTGAGCTAATGCAGGCAAAAAACCAACATATGCATGTTGATTGGTTGTCTGCATTGCATCAAGGTCCAGATGGTGAGTTGTTGTTTGGTTACTTGTGTTTGTGCTTTAAGGATGAGCAGATACAAAGCGCAACTATTTCGATGCGTGCAAGTAGTTGTTCTGCTCACACCTTTCAGATACGGTGGCCTTACCACCCCTTTTGCACCATACAACACACGATCAGATCACAACACACAACACAGGAACAACAAGAACATCACAACAAGAACAACACAACAAGAACATGCAGACCATAATTACTACTACGCTTACGTTTAAAATAACAGGGCATCCCATGCCCCTGCTGGACCCCGGGGTGCTGATCCTTGGGTAAAATAGACAGGTTTACCAACAGACTAGATGAACAAACTTTAGTTCAGACCTAACTTGGTTCATACTTCAGGCAATCTAGAGAAAGACAACCTAGAGGGCATTGCAGATGTCGCTGACGCACCTATGCTTGGAGCACCGGACCCTGCAGATGTTGGAGGTGTTGGCTTTGAAGATATGCACATTCAGGCCCAGCCCAGAGAGTCATAAGACGAGCAGGTCACCGGGGATGATCCAGTGTCGCCGGCAAAAGTACTCCCAGCCCCGCCCGAGCACCATGTGCCCCTTGAAAATCTGCACCTAGACCAAGAACTCGCACCACTTGTTGGTAGAGAGGTTGACGACGCGAGGAGTTTTGTTGACCAGCCATTGCTTCATCACCTCCTCCTAGCCCTTAATTTGCACTTAGAACCTAACAGGCTCCCGTGCACCCTCCTCATGGCCGATCCTTGGGCTCCTATCATCGTCGAGTGGCACACTCATGGCTGCCACCCTGCCCGGAACCTCCTCCCTCTTCAGCCAGTGGTTTTGTGGAGATTGTTGGGAAACGTGGTAGAAGACAAAACAGAATCGCCCTATGAACACCCAGGAACAATATGAAGATGCATAAAGGTTTGGATCAACGATCGTTACCGACTTCGTAGTGCAGCGAAAGTAGACGAGTCGGTGTATATCGTAATTGAAGTCCCTTGTACCATAGATAAAAGATCCCACGAACCGCCCATGAAGGATCCCTCGCACAAAAGACCGAAAGCGTGGCCTCTCTACTTGGTTGTAAGCATACAGTCTTCACAATCCAGCAGCGCTTCACCACCGAGAGCTAATCATCGTTGGAGAATTAGGGGGAGTAAATTAGAACCACACTTGGCTTCTAATTATGAGGATTAGAGGATCTAGGTCAAGCTCTAATTGATCAACTAGATCAAGAACTAAAGCAACTAGAGGAGGCTCCAAAACTCGTGTGTTGAAAAAGGGCCAATACCTCAAGCATATATAGATTAGAGGGGGGTAGAGGGGCTGCCACCAAGGAGGGAAAGCCCATCCTAGGGGCGTCGACAAAGGGGGGGGGGAGGATTCCTCCCCCCGCTCCAACTCGGCCTCCCCCTTGGGAAAGAGAGGCGCCACCACCACTTGGGCCATTGTGGCCCAAGTTCCCTTCCACCTCTTGGCCTTTTAAGGTCCGTTGATATTAAATTAAATATAAAATCATCCTAACAATTACTAGAGCCTGTTATTATTAATTTAAAATCACCGAAAAACATTTTCCACCTATATATTATTTATCAGGAATACCCGGTATTGCCTGATATACTCTGAAACACTTACGGTGACTCCGAAACGCTTTTTTGGTTCCTCTCGAAACTATTTCGAACATTAATGAAACAATTACACAAATAAATCCTTGATAATCTCGTCCTATTAACACTCAGCAGATCATGATTACCTTAAGTTGTGACCCCGTAGGCTTGGTAATACATAAACATGAATGAAACCCCTTCGTTCAATGATCGATGGCGGAACCGTGGAAGTCCATATCGATCCCTATGATTACAAGAATGACATTCGAGCGAACCTTGGTTATCAGGTGATGTTCTCTTTTCTTTGCGATACTTTACAAAACCCGGGATGCATCGGTATCCTCCTGGCTCATACACATGCGCACTATACCATTGCCCTCGTTGCCGATTTTGTTCTTCTTTCTTGTTGAAGTGTTTTGGCATACCCATGGCGTAGTCACCCGTGTCTGTCCAAATGATGATTGTTGTCATCACCCCAGGAGGGCCCTAAGAATA